AAAAAACTGAGGGCAGGACGAAAGTTCTTTTGGAGACAGTTCATGTTCACAAATTGGCAGATATTTTTGTTGCTAGCTTTGAGATAAGCTTCGAAGAACAGTTATCCATGTTAGATTCAGTTGACCCGAAAGTAAGGATTTTGAAAGCCACTCAGCTGGTGGACAGACATTTACAAGTGATCAGTTAGGTGTAGGTAACATTTGGCGAAATTAATGTTGCTTTCTTGAGGCACCGTCTGATATTTTTTTGGATCTGTTTTGTGTTTCACTTGACAGTCAATACGTGTCGCAGAAAAAATTACCCAAAAGGTTGAAGGACAGTTATCAAAGTCACAGAAAGAATTTCTTCTACGTCAGCAAGTTAACATTCTTTTAGAACTGTGAACATATGACTGGTATTTAAAGAAGCAAGTATCTAGTAGCAGCTGCATTTATTTGTGTCCTCATTAGAAACAGAGACAAAGCCTTTATGTCAAGGTATAAGCTATAAGAAACTGTAGCAATAACCTGGACTATAAAAATAAAAACAAAAAACTGGTAATTGGTTATTATGTTGATTGTTATTTTCAAGTTAGCATTAGACTAAGACATGAGCTCAGCTAATAGAAGCCGAACAAGCTCCAGTGGATCTTTTGTCAAGGCAATTTATTTGGCTTCACTCATATATGGCTCTAAGGGTTTGGATATGACTTTCATTGATTACTTTGGATCATTACCAAGATTCATATCAAGGTTCATCAAACATATGATATTTATAGCATTGAGAATCTGAATGCGTTGATAGGGTGCGTGACTCGCACGAAACTACACCACAATTAAACCCCAATTAGAGTCAAAGTTTTTAAACTCTAATCGGGTGCAGTATAGGGCAAGTATTTAGATATCGATCCGGTCCGGTCCGTCTATCCCTACTTCCATTGTTGAAATCATTATCTAGCAACTAAACTTTAGTTTAAAAGGTTTGCTTATTGAATTAAAAGAAAACAAAGGTGATTGGGTTTGAAAACTCTTTTGTGGGAAAGTCACTCGGTTTCGCTTCCCCCTAACCGCTACCATGCTACGTGGATTGGAACGATTGCCTTGGGCACGCTAATCGTGAACCGCAGAGGAAAGCGTATGTGGTCTGACTCGCACGAAACTGCACCACAATTAAACCCCAATTAGAGCTAAAGTTTTTAAACTCTAATCGGGTGCAGTATAGGACAAGTATTTATATATCGACCCGGGCCGGCCCGTCTATCCCTACTTCCATTGTTGAAATCATTATCTAGCAACTAAACTTTAGTTTAAAAGGTTTGCTAATTGAATTAAAATAAAACAAAGGTGATTGGGTTTGAAAACTCTTTTGTGGGAAAGTTACTCGGGTTTCGCTTCCCCTAACCGCTACCAAGCTACGTGGATTGGAACGATTGCCTTGGGCACGTTAATCATGAATCGCAGAGGAATGCGTATGTGGTCGGAGACCACAGTATCAATTGATAAACCAAGGTGAGGGATGAAAGGCCGTCACTCGACCCTCTCGGTTTAGACAATCGGTAATCGACTTACTCCCTCACTCAACTCTAAGGTTGGACGGTTTAACCACGATTAATCGACTTGTTTAATTCAATGTTGAGTGTTGTCCTAACTCAACCTAGTTTATGTGACGTAGAAAGCGGAAGGAAAACCAACTCAATTGAATCTCCATTGGAAGGGGAATTTTCCTCTCTAAACTAGGCTAAGGTGGCAAATTAGATTACTAGCACCCAAATGCACAAACTTAGGGATGCTAAGCACAATTATGCACAATTCCTAAGATGCTAAGCACAAAACATGCACAACCCCTAAGTTGCTAAACACAAGCATGCACAATCATGGTGAAAAATGCCTCAAACATTGAATTGAACAATACCCAATATCAATCATCCAAACCACATACAAGAAAACTATATGGTAGAGTTAGTATTTCACTACACTCAAGTGAAAGAAAGTCTACTCCATGGTAGAAGTGGGAAGAACAAAAGGGGAAAAGGTGGAAACCATCTTTTGGGGATGCCTCCTCTCTTCTTGACCCTTGAGCTGAGATCTCCTTGGGGAAATCTTCCCAAAATCTGTCTTGAAGCCAAACCCTAACCTTCTTTTCCCTTTGGTTCTGTTTCTCTCACTAGAATGCGAAAGAAGGTGTTTTCTCACAAAAGTGGGCTCTCTCCTCTCTCCTCCTTGCAGCTCAGCTTTTAACTCGAGAAGAGCTGAGTTCATGGTCTGAGTTCACGGCCGTGAACCATCAAACACGTCCGTGAACTCAAGCCGCGCGTTAAAACACTCTGCATCGCTCACGTCAGTTCACGAGCAACTGCTTGTGTTCACGGTCTTAGTGACCGTGAACTCACCTTGCGTCCACGATCTTAGTGACCGTGAACTCACCTTGTGTCAGTAATCTTCACATTGACTCTAGACGCCTCATGATTCACGGTCAAGTCTCCTTCTCCACGATCTTGCATGATCGTGAACTCCTTCAGAATTAATTAATTAATTAAATACAGTTGGGATATTGAGCCACTGAAGTTTGCTGTTACAACTCTGCAGATATTGGCTGCTCACCGGAACGGAATCAAGAGAGTGTACTCCCAGACAGAAACTTGAAGGACTTGGCTGAAGTGTAGAGGTAAGTTCCTCCTGATTACTTCTCCGCCATTTTCCCTCCGTATTGAGTGGCCATAGTCCGGTCAGGTCAGTGGCGGACCCAGGATTCTCGTACAGGTGTGTCGGTCAATAAAATTAAATAATAAATAAATTTTAATTATATTTTCATGTGAAACACAACGAGAAGTGGGATCGAAAGAGGTAAAGGGAACACTAGAATTTTTTTATAAGATAGAAAATAATAAAGAGCGATAGTCCGATGAAAGAGTATTTTTTGTCACTAGGTGGTCAACTATGTGAAAGCTACAAGGATCAAGAAGAAACGAAACTTATTCAGATAGAGAGAAAAAAGGAGAAAACTTTCTTACGATTACCCTTGCCTACCTAAGAGCAATAAACCATTGAGTCTAAATGCTTAAGCAATGGAAAGACCCCCAAATTTGTCATAAATTAAGTAAAATTTAAAAATAAATAATATATATTTGCGTATTTTGGGAACTTTATGAAAACAATTTCATTTTAATGTATTGAAGGTGTGTCAATTATAATTATTAAAGGTGCGTCGAAAGTCCAAAATTTCAAAAAATAATACCAACAAAACATGGGTCTCTCACAAAATATTCGGGCGGAGGTGTGTCGCTTGACACACCTCCCCAACACATGGGTCCGCCCCTGGGTCAGGTGAAGAATCGAACCGAATCGGCCTAGGATATTTATGATTAAATTGAAAATATTAAATTAAACATAAGGACCATAATTGAATCAAAAGCATATTTCCTTCGGATCCATGAAGTTGACGCCAAAAAAGAAGAGTCATTAGTTTGAGGACTGAAACCATATAAGATAAAGTTCGGTTTGGTCTGATTCAATCCAGATGTCGATTTACTCCTTGTTTGCATTTTTTAATTTCGCCATGCAATAGCATGATCCTCTCCCCCACCTGTCGTTGTGGCTACAGGTTCTGCTGGCAAAGTGTATGGAAGACGTGCTGTGCTGGAACATGCATTCGAAGGTGGCTGTCCCTGGAGACAACAGTCAAGATTATGACATCAATAGAAGATAATTTACACTCCAATACAATATGGCCATGATTCTAATTTCACTACTGTTGTAGTCATTACTTCCCACTACCCAAACACTGTCTTCCTGCTGCTTGCCAGCAATCACAGAGATCCGACTCAAGCAGAAGTAATGCTTTTGAGAAGGCTCCTTCATTGGCATAGAGAGGGACAGAGAAGAGAAGAAGGTGTGAAGATAATAGCTGATGCCAGATGGTAATCCTCGTGTGTAATGATTCTGATCGAGATGTGCAGACAGTACAGGTTTAAGCTTGTATATGTGTGAGAACCCTAGCTAATTATGTTTTGGCTGGTAGCCTCACCGCACACTGTTACCTCAACACTTTGTTGTGTTATGTGTCGCACCTCATCCTGATACTATACTGTATCTACAATATAGCGACTATGCTTACAAAGAACAAACTTGTTCCATAAAAAAAACGGCAACTTGATATACAAGAGCACTTCACAGTTGTACGTGGTACCTGGCCGGGCCGCTCACAGGCTAGCACGACACGAGCACGTGCACGAAATATATGGGCCAACCCGGCACGAGCACGAATAATTTATGAGCCGTGCCGGGCATAAATTTAATGGGCACGACATGCTATATAAGTGGGTCGTGTCGGGCATAATGTTTTCAAAACTTTATTGAGTATAAGAGCGGAAATGACACAAAAATAATATTTATTTGATAGAAAATAAATATAAAAAGAATTATAGTTATAGGGTCAAATATTACAAAATACAAGTAGAAAAATAATTGCTTGTTGTTAGAAGTGCCATAAAGATATATACGTAATTGCTACCATAAGTAAAAACGGACGAAGAATTAAACAAAGCCCAATCACTATACTTCCAATTTTCTTTCCCCCCTTATTTGTTACTTTTCTCAAATATTTTCAGTTCATACTATCTTTATTCGCCCAATTTTCTCTTTTTTTTTCATTCTCTCTTTTATTTTCTTCATTTTCATTAAACATGAATAAGAGCAAGACACGAGCACGAATAAGCCACACGATTCGAACCGTGCTCGAGCCCGGACCGGGCCTAGCAAAGTTAACAAATGAACTTGCATGACACGGCACAAAAACTGACGGACCGTGCCAAGCACAGCACGAAATAAATGAGCTCGAAGCGTGCCCGTGCCGGCCCAAGCACGCGCCGCGGCCCATCGCCCATGTACATTCACAGTACGAATGACATAAGCAAATGGGAAGTACCAGGATACCCATATGCGGCCTTAGCAGGTCGAAATGAGTTAAGTCGGTCGAACAGAACATTAAGAAGACAGACGTAAACCTCAACTTCGGATTGGTGCAGTATGATGAACAAAGAAAATAGCAACTGGGAATGAATTGAGGATAAGAAAACTAAAAAAGTAGAAAAGAGAGTGATTACAGAAATAACTCAGTAAGCCAAGTGCCAGGTAAAAAAAAAAATTGAGATGCCGCATTCCAATTTTCCAGCAGCTAAAAGGTGGTCTATTATGCTCCTTTTATTTAGACTCTGGAAACCATCTCAAAACATGATTTTGGTTCTCGCCACTAAAGAAGAGACATCAAACAGTAAGGCAATGTTGATACCATAATGGGGGGAAAAGTAAGAGAAACAACAGAGCACGCTGAAGGAGTGACTGGGATGGAAACCCAATTAACCCGTTAGAGCCGAGTTCATCGCACTGTAGACATCAACTCCAATCTGAGCCTCAGCTTTCTCCAGGTCAGTTGATGCCGAGCCAAGCTTCTGAGTGAAATCTGCTAACCCCTTTTGGACCAAGTTCGAGTCAAGATGATCGACCGGTACAGCCTCAACTGCAATCACGTCGGCAACTGAGTTTGCGTGAATGAAAGCGAACCCGCTGCTGACAAAGTACTTCGAGACATCATTGCCTTCGTGCACTGACATAACCCCGGGTTTTAGCTCCGCAATGGTAGGGACATGGCCAGGCAAGACACCCATTTGGCCTGTCGTTGCGGGAACGATGATCATGTCAACCTAATAAGCATTAACAATAGTTTATATATACATCAAGGGACATAAGATGTAACAAAAGTTTGTATAAACATTCATGGATGGATGATGCAACCAAAAATATTCAATCGCATGAAAAAAGCTAACCCAATGAAGGGGCAGAAGCATTATGGATCCACTAGATATATTCATCAAAGCTTTCAAATCAATGAAAAGCCTCCAATCTACGAGATATAGAAAAGCTGTGCCAATGAAGCAGTAGAATTTCACATTCTCATACCATCCACGTAGTCAAAGTGTCTATTAAACAGCTTCATGTTATGAGGTAAAGAGCCCGTTACTAGAAGAAATGAACTACTCTAAGAAGGAAGAAGGCTAGACTAGGGAACAGGTTCACTTCAAGCACGCATAAAGGCTAACTAGAGACCCAAAAGTTAACCAATAGAGAGTTAAATCCTGCAGAAACAGTTACAAAAATGCAGACGTCGTATGCTCTCCGTATCCTGGAGATGCTTCCCCTCTAATGTATGAATTTCCATAGAAGACATGAAACGAGAGAAGTACCGACAGGTTTGTAAGCAGACTCAACCAAAAGGCTCAAATTCCTCCCAGATGCCCCACTCCCAGTTGCGACTGTTACATATCCGATTTCAAGACTAGGATCTTCATTGCACATCCTCAAAGGATCTATCGTTTGTTCACACCAATTCCAAGATTAAAGTTGGAAGGTGGAACAACTTTGCAAGACCAACTTCTATCAATACAAGCTCTAAGCTTCAGATACCAATTCAAGCTGAAGCCCAGCTGCAATGGTGGTAACAAACTCGAATGTTACTCGACTAAACGAACCCTAGGGAAATACCAATCAAAAGCAATTTGCAGCGATGCAGGCAATTAAGAAACAGCCGAACTCCAGACCCCTATCGCATAACCTCATCAATAATTCATTGCATTTTGTATCCTGCGTATACGAAACAGAAAACCCTAATTGCAGACATCAATCAGAACAAATGAATAGACGGACAATCAAACGAACACCCACCAAATGCAGCAAAGCAAACCGAATCAAACCCAGGTGAGAAAACCCCGACGAGATCATCAGACAACCGAATCTGAGGAAGAAAAACCTAGTCGATAAATTCTAACCTCTTTCTCCGCGAGCTGGGAAGCGTAGGGAAGGACGAAATTAACGGTCAGCTTAGTCGGAATGGTGGAGGCTGTGGCCGGGCGAGGCTTCATGTACGAGGAAGGAGTCTTGGGCGGCTCAATAGTCGGGATCACCTTCTTCCAGGATTGGGAGAAAGGCGAATCCTCCGTCGGCGTGGCCGGGACATCGGTGGAGAAGGCGCGAGCGGCGACCTTCGTCTTGGTGTGCTGAGGTTGAGCGATCGATCGGGACAGAAGACGGCTCGCCTGACGAAACATCGTTTTGGCCTGGTCGGCGGCGGTGGGGATTGGCTAAGAAGGAGGACAACGGCGTTAGAGAGGGAGGCGCTCGGTTTGCGACACTCTGGAATAGATCACTTGAAAAGGTTCGCTCTCATTGTGGTTTGGTTTGTAAGATTATATTATAGGAAAAGGCAAAATACAACTTCATAGCTATAACTATCCAATTTTTGTCAATAATAGCCACTTTTTATAAAATACACAGAAATAGTCATTCCGTCCAAAACTTTAACGGACTAGCTGCGAATGCTGACTGGACTAACGATTATGGTTGACATGGCATGTTTTGATAAAAAAACTAACCGGGTGGAAATTAGCTATTTTTATTTATATAAAATTAAAAAGAAACACAAAGAGGAAGCGAAAGGTCTTCCCCTTCAACAGACCACCTCCTCTTCTCTTCACCTGAAAAAACCCTCCACCCACCATTGTTTCCGATCGACAAAGACCCTCCAATCAACACACCCTTTCGCCGGAGACCCTTCCTTCCTATAGCGCGTTCTCCCGGCGTCCATCCCACATCATTTCACCCAGTCATCCCCAATCTACGACAAGAGTCCTCCCCGAAATTGATTCAAGAGACCACAAGAGCCTCGGTTCCAGCGCCGTCATCGACAACGACCGATTATATTCTCCGACCTCACTGTCTTGATCGATTCGGAAATGGAAGGAGACGAAGCAACTAAGAAGTGAGACCGAGAGATTTGTTCAATTTGATTCTAGGGTTCGAGATGGGATTTTTTCTCTTTCTTGGATTTGATTTACTCGCGGTGGGTTTTTCAGTGGGGTTTCATCGATTTGACTTACTTCGTGTGGGTTTTGTTTCGGGCAGAATCAAACAGAGGTTTTAGAAGAAGAGGATTTGAGTGTTTGAGTTTGGGAAAGTGGACGAGGGAAAGGTTGCAGGTTCAACAACTTGGGTCGTCTTCTCTATGGAATTGGAAAACAAAGCAACGACAGTCCGTCGCCACAAAAGGACCCAGGAATCCGGCCGGAGAATGAGGAGCAAGGTCGTCGGAGAAATATCTCGATGCACTGCTTCTTTGCCTGAACGAGATCCGTGCTCAGCAGCCCGTCACCACCGCAGCTTCAAGGAAGATGGGATGAGGGTTTTTTGGGTGAGAGATTTTATTTGTTGGGCGGCGATGGCGTACAGATATATGATATTTTTTTTAATTTAAAATGTGACGTGTCATACATGTGGTATGGAGTGATGAGGTGGACATGACGTGTAGTTTAGGTTACATCCACGTCAGTTTAGCGTCCACTTAATTGACAGAGTAATTGACGGTGTTAAAGTATTTAACGAAAATGGCTAAATTTGACAAATAAGTTTTAAAATTATGGCTATATCTGTGTATTTTTCAAAAAGTGGCTATTATTGTCACAAACTCGATAATTGTGGCTATGCAGTGTATTTTGCCATGGTAAAATGGGAAACGCAAATTATCAATGGCTCGCTGAGAAATTCTTAGGTGCACTGGGTGCACCACGTCACCCGTGCACCGCCCCAATCAAATATTGTCACGTGGTTGTTTATTATTTAAATTTTTTTATTCCAAGCAAAATACAGCGACGGAGAAAAGAGAGGCGAGTCCTCCACTACCACCGTCACTGCCAAATTCCTTCATCGCTTACAAACTTGTCAAGAACATCCTTAATCCTCTGCTTCATCTCCATATCCATGACTACAGTGTCGAAAGTGGTCGGATTCCTCGTCGTCGGATCCTCCCTCGGCCAGGACGATGGAGGCCTTTTTCTGGTGGGGGAATTTCCCGACACAGATCCGCTTGTTCTTGGGCCCGATTTGGTGAACAAGAGGTCGTTTCAGTCGAGGTCGTCCCAGTCAGTGTCGACTACGAAGGTTTCGAGCTCCGGCGAAGGCTTGAGGGAGAAGAAGAAGGTATTCATCTCGCGGTAGACGTTTCTGACGAGCATTCAGGTATTGGAGCAGGCGTAGAACTTTGAGTGAGTAGATGTTGATGGGAGGTGGGTCGGGATCCGATTGAGGTTTGGAGAGGAGAAAGAATGGCGGGTTTAAGAGCGGGAAAGAATTGGGATTGGACGTCGATGGTGGCGGTGGCGAAGGCGAAGTCGCCTCTCCTTCATCCGTCGCTGTTCTTTTGCCAGGAATAAAAAAATCTAAATAAAAAACAACCACGTGGCAATATTTGATTGGGGCGGTGCACGGGTGACGTGGTGCACCCGGTGCACCTAAGAATTTCTCTGGCTCGTTTATCGTAGGTAGGGGTGTATTAAAAAAAAATCATAGGTAGGGCTGTTAATGAGTCGAGTCAAGTCGAACCCAGTTTTGTCTTGTTTAGATTTGTTCATTAATAAACGAGTCGAACTCGAGCTCGACTCATTTATGAACGACCTGAGTCGAGCCGAACACGAGTCAGCTCATTTATTGAATCTTGGCCCATCATTAAGATCAAAATTTTGGCTTGAGTTCAACTCTAAGACAATTTATGAATTAAATACCTAATATATATGTCAATATGTGAGACATACTTGTTCACATAAATTATTAAACATCACATGAGGTGTGATGTACAATTTAATAAATATATGCATCATTAACAAATTAACTCATAAGATATAGATCGATTTTCTCACAAGTTGTAATCAAGTGGGATAGTTCATGAGTCAAATTCAACAAGGCACCTAATCGAACTAGTTCATGAGCCGAACAAGGTTGAGCTCAAGTTCGGCTCTTTAACAAACGAAACGAGCTTTTATTAAATCGAACAAGCTTTTATCGAGTTCGAAACCGAGCTCTTCGCGAATAGCTTGATTCATTAACAACCCTAAATTCATAGGAGTGGGTCGTCCATTCGTTCGAGAATCAATAGATTCTGTCCAAATATCTATTCGGTAAGATGTGACCCAAATTGGTGTCCACTCACTCCTAGTTCATTGTTGTGATTTACATTTTACTGGTTTCATAATATTAAATTATGAAAAATTATTAATGAACATATAACTGACAAATAAGAAGTCTTAGAATGAGAATATTATAAGTAAAATGCACATAATAACACACTAAATAATAAATCCAAAATAAAATACATCATTTATAAACAAAGATGAATACTAAAGTTTTTAAAGTCCAAACTCCAAAAGCTTATCCTCTAAAAGAAAAAAAAAAATTTAATTATTAATATATTCCTACAAAATATTATTTTTTGAATATGTAAACCATTTTAAGCTAAGTAGATTTGCATTTTCTTATTAATTTTTAAGTTGTTTGCATATTGATTCAAAATATTGGTTGCATTTTTTTTATCGGCAATCTGGTCAATATTATTAGAGAAAAATCAGTTCTGGCCCACTGGACCACAGCCCAAATCATTCTCCATCATACAAAGGAGATTAATCGGTGGGTTATCCACTCAAACCACTTGATGATTCCAACCCGACCCAGAGTGGGCTAACCAATGAGCAATAGAATTTGTTTTCCACGAAGAGAATCTCCATCTGATCTTGTCACCCGAAATCCTTTCATTCACCGAAGCCAGCTCCTTGAGCACCTCGCACCAAATTCCCAACTCAGTAAAATTCGCCACGCCCTTGTTCAGCAAATTCACTAGAGCTTGACAATCTAATTCAACCACAAGAGGGCTCAGAGATCTGCGATTAGCTTCTCGTAATCCCATCACCATCGCCTTCGCTTCAGCAATAATAGGCTGGCAGATCCTTTTTCTTTCTTCGCCATAGCCCCAACAAATTCACCCTTCTAGTTTCGAATAACAGTTCCCAAACCAATTCCTTGTTGCTGGAGTACTCCCGCGTCACTATTCAACTTGAAGACTCCTTCTGGGGGGAAGCCATCAATCTATACTGGAGCTTGCGTTCCTGGCCTGACCTGAAGAGATGATCTGCGATCTATATTGATTGCATAGTTGAAAAACATATTTTATTGTCAATCACAGGTCCTGGGTTCGTACTAACATAAATATTTTTTAAACATATTGGCTGGGAGGTTTAAATATGGTTGTTCGGTTCGTCCTGTTTAAAGGAAATGACTAATTACCTTATTCGAACCAGTTTAGTGACCGAATCCTGGTCTTACAAATCAGACTAACAGGTTTGGCTAGTTTCAACAACCATGGTTTTAGCGTTACAATACGTGCTTTCTATGAATTATACTATTATTTATTATTTGCTTGATGATGTAGAAAGTAGAAACTATAGTTCAAAACGAATGTTTCTACATTCTCATTTTTAAAGTTGTAGTCCTAAGAAGTTATGCAAAAAAAATATATATATATTCATCACGTTCGAATTTTTTAGCACAAAGTTATAATAGTGTAAAGTTTGGCAAAATCGAAAATTGTTTGTTCGGGGTAGCAAACAACGTTTTTCTAGGACAAAGGCGGGGCCAAATTGCTTGTTCCTTGCAAGATCTCGAAAAATTATGCGAAATCAAAACACTACTATCGGATACCCTTGCTTAATGCATGTTCACTTCCCATTTGGTTTTCTGTTTTTTGTTGGCCCAACAAAAATTAAGAAACATAAGAGAAAAAACGTGTTCATTTGTCATTTTGATTTTCGTTGGAAAATTAAGTTGGCAATAAATGGATAGCTGGGAAAAACAACAAATACCAGTTTTCTGAAATATAGGACATGGGTTTCTCCCTGTTGCCTAGCGGAAAATCAGCAATGTAGTTAAATGAAGTCTGGGGTTTGAATCCCCATTTGTATTTGTTTTAGTTGTTGCACTCATCCACCCACACGCGGCCTTTGGTGTCGTTTTGGGCCTTTGGCTGCTGAACCCTAGCAGCCGCCAATTGATTCCTCCTCCATCCAGTGGCGAAGAACTTCCACTCCAACATTGGCGTCCCTGCTCGACCTTTATCGATTGGTTCCGATTTTAATCATCTTCTCCTAGTTCTAACCCTTGTTTTCCGCACCTCATCTTCCCGAACTAGCCAGGGTGAATGCAAACGATGCTGATTTCCATACCTCTCCGTCCGAAGCTTCATTCGACAAAGAGAAGATCGTAGCAGTGGAAAATCTTCCTCCTCTCGCCAGAAAACCCTGCTCGAATCTTCATCCCTGGCCTTTGAGAAACTCCAGCCGTCGAAAAGAAGTTCTGCAGAAAAAGTTATGTTTCATTATATATAATTCTAGGT